GGGTGCTTCGCGGTGGTACTAGACTGGGCCGTGCCAGCACGGCTGCTAGACGGTCGCGCCCCAGCCATTCTTTCCGGTGATGGGCTGAGTGGTTTCCGGTGGAATGATCCGTCTCTAGAGTATCCGCCTCTTCGGAGCTCCACATTGCGATGGACCTCGCCCATGTCTGGGGTACCGGCGGGGAGGCCTTCGGGCAGCGACTCGTCCTGTAGCCTGGCGAAGGATGAATCCTCGCGACTGTGTCCCAGAGCACTCTCCTCGTGCTCAGTCTCGTACTGTTCTGGCGGCGGCGATCCAATCTGGCGTAGGCGGTTGGCAAGCTCGGATCCTCGGAAGTTGGGAGCAGGCTTAGCGGCCTGGCTGACGTTCATGTTGGCGGTCATGGTGAGATAGACGGGACTGAAGTTCTCGTTCTCGTATTCTATCTGGCCGCTGACGGTTCGGACAGGATCGCTGGGTGGTGGCATGAGGTTTGTGGTGCATTCCGACGATCCCTCTTCGTGTACTGTTCCGTCCTGAGAAGGCTCCTCTTGGTCTGTTTGTTGTTGCTCGTCTTGTTCCGTCTGTTGCGCGTCGGGTCGCGATTTGGGCCATGGCGGCGGGCTCGACGGCAGCGGCACGGCACTGAGGCCCTTCAGCAGGCCGAGCCTGCGCTTTGGCTGGGCAGAGTCGTCTGATGCGCCTGGAGCCGGCCGCTGGAAGATGTTCTCGAGGCCTGTGGGGCCGAACAGGTCGGTCTGGTTGCCGTAGCCGACTTCGCCGTTGACGAGCCTGCGTCTCCACTCGGGCGTGTCCTGGGATCCTGGCTCTTTCGTGGGTGATCTCGCGACCGTGTGGTGCGCTACTGTTCCGAATTGCATGCCGGAGCCTTGCGACATGGAAAAGGACGAATACGAGGCGCGACGCGGGGGCTCGACGTGTGACGCGTTGGGCGACGACGGGGCGGGGGGCACGTTGACGTCGCTGAGGCTGCGCTCGAGGAGGGCATTGCGCTGCTTGGGCGGGCGCAGCTCTTTCGCGATGCTGCGCACCTGGATCTCGGAGAAGGAGCCTGACGACTGCCGCATGCGGGGAAGGCGGCTGCGGGCTTTGGCCGACGCGCTCTGGGGCGTTTTCGTCGCGGGCGGGCTCTGGGCATTGTGGGCGCCTGTGTCGGGCGAGGGCTGGTCAACCCACTCCTCAGACAGGCCCTCGAGGTAGGCGAGCGTGTTGGCCATGGTGGTGGTGGTGGTGGATGTCTCGCGTAGGCCGGGTGGCCGTGATGTCTCGGGAGGGCGACGCTGAAGATGCGGTGAGAGGGAAACTTGTTGGCGAGTCCCCATGCGCGTCGAAAGAATGCTATGCTAGCGCAAACGGCATTGCTTCTGCAGCAGCGGCTTCAATGGCGCAAGAGTGGTGCTGCAACGCGTCGCCGAGTCGTGCTGACTTGTTTATCGATATCCTCCAGGGCTAGCATCTACTATGACATCTCGTCCCGACTGCACGGCCATAATGGGTGCGCTAACTCGTCATCACCACGGCAACCACATCGATCTCCCGCCTCGCGACAATGCGCCGATGAGGCCTATCCCGATAATCCAGAGCACTAGGCCACCCCAAAAAACGGCTATTCCTGCTCGGCGGCGTAGCAGATCCTCCACAGCTGTCTTGGCGATGTCCTTCGCTTGACACCCGAGCTCCTCCAGGCCTTGTTCTATTTACGCCGCGTGGCAGCCACGATACACACACGCCGCCCGAACATGCGATCCGACCTGGCCCCACCTATTTCTACCACACCGTCACCACTACGCATATAATACTGTCACATGTTGGGACTATACTCGAAGAGGCTGCATGAACAAAAGAGGGCCCTTGGATCGTGCCCTTCAGAGCAATGCCGCTGAGCTTGCATCCTCACTTGAAGCGGGGACTGGACTTTGACGCCTTCCATGTCGATCCCGAAGACCTCATCGAAGAACCACCGGCGGAGTACGAAGACCCTGCGCATAGGGCAGCAAAGCGACGCAGAATCGAGGCGATTGCATCCCGATACCTACGCGGCCGACCGCCCGTCATCATCACAGCCGCGCTGAGAGGGCCTTTCGACAATGGCTGGAAGAACCCGTGGACGAAGCCCATAGTAGAGAAGCGGAGGGTATCGGGCAAGAACAATGCGGTAGCGGGCACAAGGAACGCCAATAGCAAAAAGGTCGCTGCCGGTCGCAACAACACCACCAAACGCAGGAGCAGCTCAAGACTGAATGGAGGCAACGGGAAGGACGTCGTGGAAGATATTGCGCCCCAGATGGCGTCACCGGAAACATCTAGAGCTGCCAGGGATGATTTGGACCACCGCGAACACGATGATAGCCTCGACGAGATCGAAGTCCCGCCCGCGACAGCACCCTTACCCGACGATGATGACGCACCCGGTACTGCAGAGCCCTTCAGCACGAACACGAACAATTGCATACAAAACCGCTCCCCCATGACCAACCCCTTCTGGTTGCGCCGCCCTGGGTCTGCAAGAGTCGACATGCGCAAGGCTGCAAATCGAAACACCGACACGTCCCCAACGCGGTCCCGATCGCGAAATAGCACTTCGCAAACCCAAACCCAAACACTGTCAGAACTACGGCTCAGTCTGCCAAAAGCGCCCATTCAGGCTCAGAAGTCAGCTCCGGCGACACCAGCACAGGAGGAGTGGAGATCAAGTGCCTCAGCTTCGATGGTCATCTCATCGCCGGCGAAGGATGCTGATGTACATGGTCAGGCTGAGCATGAACCAACTGCAAGCCCACCACGTTCGCAACGGACTGTACCGATCATCACTTCTTCAATGGGCAGTCAAGGAAGGCGGACAAGACAAGACATACAACAGTCTGCAGAACGTCCAGGCCGCCAAACACCTGGACTGTCATCAGAAGGACAGCCACGGCGCTCAAGTCGTCGAAGTACGCAGAATGCACCCTCGCCTACAGATGCGCAGCATGGTCCCGTGACCTCGCCTTTGCCGGCTTCTTCGACTGGCAAAGTTCGTAGAAAGACCAAGCTGAAACCAAGAGCTGTCAATTTTGACTCATCGCCAGAGAAGGTTCCTTCTGCCAAGAAGTCATGCGCAGAGGGGGACGTCATCCACGAGGATGCCGAAGATGAACTGCAGGTGGATCCAACAGAGGCAATTGTGGTCGATGTACAAGCGTCTCCACAAGTCGAAGGAGATGCCAGTGTGATCCAGAATGAAAACTCTGAAATGCGCACGAGTCGGTCTAGTCGGGACTCTGACTGGTCTACACAAGCCGCCATGATGCGAGCTCAGCTTGAGTTCCAGCAAAGCACCTTCCCCATGATGTCTCCGGAGGTTCTCCAATTGGACTCGCAAACCTCACTTCTTGATACACCCCGTCCCATACTAGCCGCAGCCAGTGCAGCCGTTACACCTCTTTCTGCCTTCACTGTCCAGCGAGACGAGCCACTTGCACCCGAGACTGTTCTCCAAGCTCCACCGATCAGCACGCAAGATCTCTTCGGCGCAGCGTCTCCGTTCGCATTTAGTACCGTGAAAAAGAAGCCGGAAGAAACGCAAAGAAGCAACTTGAGGTTCGCTTTCAGCCCTAGTGATGGGGTGCTGAGAGCTGACGCGGTCGCTAAGAGCCCCACTCCTACTGCTGAGCGGGTCCCGCTGAAGAACAAGGACAACATCACGTCGTTTTGGAGCTTCACCACGGACAAAGCTTCTCAAATATCTCATGGATTCTTTGGTGACAGGTCGAAAGGGGTATTGAATGAGGTCAGATTTCCAGCGCTGAACATCGACACGTCACTTGGCGACTTCGGCCCTACCGGTAGTCTGGATTTCACAGATCGCTTTCTTCGCAATATAGACGACACTTGAATACTATGACAAAGAACCAAGATCATTTCTGCACGCAGCGCACTCCCGGTAGGAGCACCGCGGAAGCATCGGCATGGCTACGTGCTCCAAGTGGCTCTGAGCGCCGTGGCACTTGAATATTGCTAGAGAGAAGCATTCTGTACCGGTATCACAGCGACGTGCAGCGATAGTCACGTAAGGATGCAGCAGGCGGTGAGAGGCCACGTTCTCGAGTGATTGGACGTCGACACCTCTCGCCCATGCACAGTCGATGCAAGCAGCAGACCTTGGGGGAGCACGGATTGATATCGGCGAAAGGGGGTGAGGCAATCGCGATGGGACGGTATAGCCGGTACCGCATAGTTTGGATACGGGCCTTTGCACGGCCACGCTGGGGAGGGCGCGGAGGCGGGAGGAAGTCTAGCTTGTGTCACGGTGCTTGGGAAATTGACAGTGCTGTCCAAATAACGTGCAAAGTGAAGCGGCAGCAAACCTCAGCGCCCTATCGTGACAGCATGTGTCGTGGGTTGTAGCGTCAACGTTGTGCTAGTGCTGTCCGTGAACCGATATCGTCTGCGTGCACGGACGCTCCTTCCTCGTCTTCACCAGACAGGAACCCATGACAAGAGCTGCCAGCATTGCGTGCGCAATTGCCGCCAAGCCCGATTGCCTCTGTCGCTATCAACAAGCCACCTGTTCACTGCCTCAGTACTGCAGCAAAACAAACCCCCAATCCACTCACTGCACTCGGCGTCGCGAAACAACCACCACCACTCGGACCACCTGCACTGACGCGCTTTGTTACGCGGTAGCAGTCAGGCAGACGTCATTGGGCCGCTCGCTTGGGATAATCTTTGCGCCACTTTGGACTGGACGCCAAACCACACAGAATTAGAACGTGGACCTCTCGCCCTTCTCACTGGTCTCGTCGCTCGCTAGCACCCTGGAACACCGCCTGCAGCCCTCGCGTCCGCCAGCGCTGCTCTGCACGCTAATCTAGAAGATCCGCCCCTGCTGGCCCTCCGCTGTGTCTCCGCCGCGCCCAAACGACCGCATCCTGGCCAACGTCCTGAGCGCCCGCCCGGCAATATCTGCCACCCATCCCGCCACGAGGTGCCTTCCTGACGGTCGAATCAATGTCGAGCCCATGTCACCCCAGCCGGACGCCCAAGGAAATACCTCACCCCCCGCATCGGTGAGGTCGACGGCCAGCCATGGACTGCCCACGCCCGACGCCGAGCACGACCAAGTGACGCCCAAGAGCCTCGCGCAGACGGGCCGTTCACGCACCGCGCCCATTGTCAACGAGAGCAACCTCTGGAAGTCGTCAATTGACCGCCCCCAGCTCGACGAGCGCGACAGCATCTTCGCAACTACGTACCTCGTCTCCGACAGCCCCATCTCCTCCCCGCGGGCCAGCGCACGCAATGTAGATTCTGCCAACGATGCTCCCGAACACAGTCTGGCTGAGATGGCAGCGCCAGCACCTCCCCAGAGGCGATTGATGGATCCACCCATCATACGCAGGAAACACTCTACCCTTCCTCCGCCTTCTTCCATCGACCACCAAGCCGTCCTGACTACCCCCTTTAACCCCCGCGCAGCCATTGCAGCCGGCATGAGTTTCGACGCCATCCATCACAGTCCTCCGCCCTACATGAGCCCAGTCGACTCGCCCGTACAACACCCCACCACCCCGCCACGTCCCGAGCTCCAATACGAGGCTCTGCTGGAGAGCGAAGAGAGGCGCAGGAACAGGGAGTGGCGCGAAGGGAAGCCTGTGCCATTCAAGGGCAACATGATCTTGGATCAGCCCGTCATGGACGTGGAAATGGAGAAGAAGATTGAAGCAACGCTTGCCAAGACCGAACAACCCACTTCCGCACGCAGTCGAAAAGCAAGTCACTATCTGCGCGTATTCAAGGATGGCGATCCTACTGAAGAGCCGAAGAAGAAGGACAACAAGACAAAAGAACGTCCTTCTGCTGAGAGGACCCTATCCGCACTTTCAGAGGAAGGCTCAACCGAGACTGTCGGTCTCATCGACCAGCTGCGTCGCGCATCACTAGCTTCCTCCGTCGTGCAATCACCTCTAGGCGGTCCGACTGATTCGTACTTCGACGCGAAAGCGGCGCCTCGCACCGAGTCAGGCGTTGCCTCTACACCTCCCAACGGGAGCACGCGACCAGACGCAAGCTCTCAGGACAAGCACAAATTTCCAAGGCGCCTTCTCGAGGACATTCGCGGCTTCGGCAACCTGACTCCTGGTGCGGACCCCCGGTCTTCGTTCTCTCGCAGTCTACCCACATCAGCTGTCGAAAAGGTTCACGCGCACGCACCGACGAATGGAGCGACTCCCTATGACGAGCCGTCCGATTACTTTCAGGTTAAAGACGGAGGCGATAAAGAACGTACGCCAGGCTCGGAGGAGGACGAAGAATCGGAAAAAGAACAGATCTCTTCGGCTCTCTACTTTCCCCATCGCCGGCTTAAGACGAGTGAGCAAGTCCCTACAGAACCACAGAACCGAGATAGAGAGGTGAATGCTGTCGATAAGAGGGCTTCAACTCACGAGGTTGCGGGGCCGAAAGGGTGGGCCACAGAGAAGGATGTGCAAACTCCACAAGAAGTAGAAATTTCTCTAAAGGCCCAAGATACCAATCAATGCCTTCATGGTGATATCTCCACGGCGACTTCCTTGAAGAAAGACAAAGAGCAGCCGCTGACCGCCCCCGATGCGCTTTCAGCTGAATCTGAGTCTGAGTCGCACGCCGAGTCTACTCAATCAAATCTTGGTTATGAATCCAGTGCGACTGATGACCTAGGAACGACGCCCACTGCGACTTCGCACAAACAGGAAGCTAAGGCTGCTGCGCCTCAGGTGGCTCAGCCGCCAGCCCCACTGGGTGCTGTGGAGCTGAAGCCATACGATCACCAAGTTGGCGGTCATTCTACTGTCTATCGTTTTTCTAGGCGAGCAGTATGCAAACAGCTAAACAATCGAGAGAACGAGTTTTACGAGACAGTGGAGCGCCAGCATCCTGAACTGTTGGAATTCTTGCCAAGGTACGAAATGTCCCCCCGCTATTGATCGAGGCTGAGACATCAGCGAAGATCATTGCCTCCGCCTCGGTTCTTGATTAGGATATTTGCTGACATTGACATCTAGATACATCGGCGTGTTGAACGTGACCTACCGAAAAGCCCCCAAGAAGAAGAAGGTAGCCAAAGACAAAGCGAAATCCGACGCTGCTCCCACTACTTCTGCGACACAGTCGGAAAGCGCTTCAAGACAGGCTTCAAAGGCCCCCGAAGATCGGGGCAATGCGGAACAACCTCGAGTGGTCAGCCACTCGCAGCAGATTATGCCCATCCCTCAGGTAATCTTTGAGAACAATCGGCACATCATCCCAGACAATCTGTTTCGTGTGCCACCACGCTCCACCACTCCAGATCCATGGATGCGCAATGCTTCCTTGTTGCAACAACAACATCGACGAAACCAAAGTGATTACGGTCACATCTCTACGAGCCCGACTCGGCCCCCACTGCAGCATGCTAGCAGTTGGGGTGTGACGACGATCAACAGAAAGTTACAGGAAGAGGTACTCCGGCAGGTTTTTGCGCCGCCAACTATTCATCATAGGCCGCGCCATCATCATCACGGGATCTCAGCTCGTAAGACGGGAGGGGATGTTCCGCAGAACGTAGCTGGCTCTGCGCCTACGATAAGGAGGAACAGCACAGATGTAGCTGGATTGCATCCACCACTTACAGAAGAGTCGACACGGAAACAAGTTCTGAAAGCTGAAGCGCACCGCTTTGCCTCGGAAAGGAGCGCTGATCCTGCCGTTTCCAGCTCCCTTGGACAGCCAGACACCAACGCCGATGCGCTTAAGCCACCATCGAACAATCTCCCCCGCCGTCGTCATTCTGGTAGTGGACTTACTAGAAGGCCCTTGGGAATAGACACTGTCCAGAGACACAACCTGGAATACTATGAAGAAGATGGTTACGGTGGTGATGCAGAGGAGGAAGTATTTGCTATGGACGAAGATCGCAATGCCATGTCAGACGCAAAAGATCAGCACCGAGGCCGATCTGTGCAAACATCTGGCGCAACAAACGGCGTTCATCCCCCAAAACCATCCGAGGGCACCATGCTACCAGCCCCTGCCGCACCAAATGGCAATGGCGCCCCACTGGGCGAGGAGCCTTCCAATCCCGAAGAAGCGCAACAACAACCCGACGAGCGCGTTCAGCACTTCATCCTTCTGGAAGACCTTACCGCAGGCATGTCCAGGCCTTGTGTCTTGGACCTGAAAATGGGCACGAGGCAGTATGGAGTGGAAGCCGATGAGAAGAAACAAAAGTCTCAAAGACGCAAGTGTAAGATGACAACGAGTGCCCAGCTCGGCGTACGTGTTTGCGGCATGCAGATTTGGAACGCCAAAACCCAAAGCTACATCTTCGAAGACAAGTACTTTGGCCGCGACTTGAAGGCTGGCAGAGAGTTTCAGGATGCGCTGAAGCGCTTTTTCTGGGATGGGACAAGTTACAAAGCAGCGACAAGACATATTCCTGTCATACTGGAGAAGATCAGTCAGCTGGAGCGCATGATACGGAATCTTCCAGGCTACCGATTCTACGCAAGCAGCTTGCTCATGCTCTACGATCGTGGAGATGGAGAGTCAAAGGAAAAAGACGCGCAACCCTCCCTGTCCAATGGTCTATCGAACCCGAGCAGCGAAGACGTCTCAGTAATACCATCCGGACCCACATCACCTGGCCCGACAACCGCCTCTAAGCCGACACCTAAGCATCTCCCAGAGATTAAGCTCAAGATTGTCGACTTCGCCAATTGTGTCACCGCAGAAGACCCGCTGCCTGACGACTTACCTTGCCCACCCCAGAACCCGGATGGCATTGATAGAGGCTACCTTCGTGGTCTGCGATCGCTGCGGCTCTACTTCCAGCGCATCTGGCACGACATCAACGAAGAGTGGGTTGAACGAGGCGAAGGCGAAGGTATGGCGCGCAACCATCACCACGGCCCTGGCCTAGGTGAAGTCGGCGCGGGCTGGATGGACGATGCTGGTGGTGAAGACACGGGCTATGCCAGCTTTTAAAGAAGAAGTCGAGCGAAGTCAGCAGAGCCGAAGTTGGTCCCCAGACACGTCCTTTCTCTAATTCCTTTTTGAACTGGCGTTTTGATTTTCATCGGCTTCAGGGACGCAAGCATGGCGTTTTGGCGCATCACGGAAAGACAAAGGTAATGAAATTGGTAAACTACTCTGGCATGCATCGGCGCATAGCATTTATGGGCGGCAAATCCTTTGCATTGCTTTCCTTCTTGTTCATTCTGGGCTTTATTGGGATGGGCATGGGGTTTGTGTTTCGGAGTCCGGTTGGGTTTTTCTTGTATATTATCATGGAAAGAGTAGGGTAGCGCTAGCCTCATTAATGCAGCATTTTGAACATTGAATATTTCTCCGTGCTGTTGGCGGAAGTAGTGACCTTCCTGTTACGTATCTCGAGCTATCATGCACTCAGCGGCACTATACAAAGCTTATCATCGCAACCCCACTTGCGCAGCCAGACGCCACGTGCCATCCGACTCGCAGAAACCGTTCACTTTCCAGAGCATTTTTCTACTCTGACCAGCAATCTGCATTCAAAGATGGCATCTCTGAACATCGACCCACCCCTCCTCAATTCTGCGAACCCATGGTGCACGACCCTTGAGCAACTCCAAGAACTTTACGAAAGTCCACACACAGGCGCCATCACAACGCGCACATCCCTCTTGAAAGGCTTCCCACACGACCCCGCGCACCATCAATTCACTTTCTTCAACCCATCTACGCACAGTTCCAGCACCCTAAATACCGATCTAGCCGGCGATGCCACAACAACAGGCAGTTTAAACACACTCGGCTACTCACCCCTCAATCTCGGGCAGTACCTCGACTTCGTCACCAAAATCAGCGATTCCCTGCCTTCCGAGCCGCCAAAAGGAAGAGAAACCTTCAAACCCATTCTCATCTCCGTAACCGGAAGCGTGGAGGAAGTGGCGCAATGCTACCAGCTCATCTACACCATCCGACACAGTGTGAAAATGCCACTAGCCATGGAAATCAACCTTTCCTGCCCAAACATCCCAGGGAAGACACCACCAGCCTACAACGCTGACGCCCTACGCGAATACCTCGCCGCGCTCAAAATAACCATCGATGTTGGCCTCACGAAAAGCGGAGGCGAGACACAAATACCCGTTGGTATCAAGATACCGCCGTATACGTACCAAGAGCAATTCGACGCCTTGATAAGCGTATTGGAGGAGAGTGCAGAGAACAAAATGAAACCAGTCTACCTCCCCTGCCCTATTTCTTTCATCACCGCCGTGAACACACTCGGTTCGTCTCTGGTCTTATCTACACAGGACGTGGGTGGTGAAAGCATGATCAGTCCTGCGCTCAACTCAGCGAATGGGTCTGGGATTGGGGGGCTGGCGGGCGCGCCGTTACATCCCCTTGCGCTGGGCAATGTGCGCATATTGAGGGAGATGCTGGATAAGAGGGAGGCGTTGAAGCGGATTATGGTTGTTGGAACGGGAGGGGTGGAGGATAAGAGTGGGTTTGAGAGGATGAGACATGTGGGTGCGGGGGCGGTGGGCGTGGGGACTGCGTTGGGGAGGAAGGGGGTGAAGGTTTTTGGGGAGATTATGGAGGGATGATGTCGTGAATGTCATGTATATAGTGTGTAGCATTCTTCATCTCATCAAAGAGTCATGCGAGATGTGGCATCATATCGTCAATATATCCACAGGATTGTAGATACTAGTCTCGGATATGGGGTCAATGTGCACTTCAAAATCCGTATAGAGTGATCAAAGGTTCATCATTTTACAGATTAGAAAGCTTGTTATGATTCTTTACGTTCATTCATTCAGATTCTCCATGATTACTTGAACTATACACAGTACTCACTCGAGCCCATCTCCACCACTCACTTAACCGAACAGCACATCACCAAGACGAATGGAAACAGTCTTGGTCTGAATGTAGTTGTCCAGCGCCGCCTCACCCAACTCGCGGCCAATGCCAGACTCCTTGTAGCCACCTGTAGATAAGAAGTCAGTATATGTCTCACATGCGCATCGTACAGCCAGAACTTACCGAATGGCAGCTGCCAGTGAAGAGTGTTGTAAGAGTTGACCCAGACAGTTCCAGCGCGGAGCGCGTTGGCAACCTCGATGGCAGTGGTGAGGTTGGAAGTGTGGACTGCGGCGGCAAGACCGTAGGTGGTGTTGTTGCCGATCTTGATGACGTCGGCCTTTGTCTTGAACTTGGAGATTGTGCAGACGGGGCCGAAGATTTCTTCTTGTTGGATCTTCATGTCTTCGGTTACGTTGGAGAAGATGGTGGGCTCGATGAAGTAGCCCTTGTCACCGTGGCGGTTGCCGCCGGTCTCGACGGTTGCGCCGGACTTCTTGCCCTCCTCGATGTAGCTAGAATCTGTATTAGCATTGGCTTCAGTTTTAGAAGGACATGACATTGCTTACCCCATGATACGGTCGAATTGGAGCTTCGAGACCTGAGGTCCCTGGAAGGTGTCCTTGGCGAATGGGTCACCGACAGCGTTCTGGGCGGCCCTCTCCTTAAAGCGGGCAATGAACTTGTCGTAGATTTCTTCTTGGACGTAGATACGCGATCCAGCGCAGCAAGCCTGTCCGTGGTTGAAGTAGATACCGAAGTTGACCCAGTGGATGGCCTCGTCGAGATCGGCATCGGCGAAAACAATGTTGGGGCTCTTGCCTCCAAGCTCGAGAGTAACCTTCTTCAAGTTGGAGCCAGCAGCGGCCTTCATGATTTGACGACCGACAACGGTTGAACCGGTGAAGGCAACCTTGTCGACATCCATGTGGGCGGAGATAGCGGCACCAGCGACCTTTCCGAAACCAGTAATGACGTTGATAACACCTGGTGGGAAACCGGCCTCTTGGATGAGCTTGCAAGCTACGTATGCGGAGAGAGGAGTCTGCTCAGCTGTCTTGATGACAACGGTGTTACCAGTGGCGATGGCAGGACCAATCTTCCATGACCACATGAGAATGGGGAAGTTCCATGGGATAATTTGTCCGCAAACACCAATCTGGAATTGTTAATCACGGGACTTGGACTTGGAAACATGCAGAACTTACGGGCTCCTTGCGGATGTAGTTGAAGCTGTCGGGTGCTGTGTCGACGACCTTGCCCTCAATCTTGTCGGCCCATCCTCCGTAGTACCTCAAGCAACCAGCGGCGGCAGGGATATCGACGTTCCTGGCCATGCTGAAAGCCTTACCGTTGTCGAGAGCCTCGACTGAGGCGAGAAGATCGGCATTCTTCTCAAAGAGGTCGGCGAGCTTGACAAGCAGCTTTCCTCGGTTCTCTGGTGTCTCCTTCCGCCATGGGCCGTTAAAGGCCTTGCGTGCGGCAGCGACAGCAATGTCAACATCCTTCTCGGTGGCCTCGGCAACATTGCAGATGACCTCCTCGGTGGATGGATTGATGACCTCGAAGGTCTTGCCGTCAACGGCCTTTACGAACTCATTGTTGATGAAGCTGGTTAATGTCAGTATTGACGATGCCGAAGCATTACAAACTCTCCGAAGAATATCGGAAACTGGATATCTGACTTACAGTCCGGTGGGCTGCTCGTACTCGCCCGTTTGGGGGGTTGTTAGCTTTACGGATGTCATTGCGAAAGCGAATTGGGGTATATGGACAAAACAAAGCTGTGAAGTGAAGGAGGGGTAGAGGCACAGGCAAATCCTTAAGTACTTTCAGGAGCTCCGCATGACGACACTAGAGGTTATCTCCACTCGAGACAGGACAACAGTACGATCGCCCAGACAGCCTCGGCCATCAGGAGCCAGTCTCAGGAAAGCGCTGCAGCCTATTGCGTGTCTCGACGATGCATGGCCGGGTGGCGCTTGATGCAACGGCGGAAGCTCTTGCCCCGCTTTCGTAGCCAGTGGTAAGCTACCCCTCCCCCGCAGTTCTGCTCTGGAAGTCCTCGAAGCCGCAGCTAACCCTGCTACACGCGGTACTGGATTCTCCAATTTGGAATAGACACCTATTGGCAACTGATGCGCATCCGCAAAAGGCATTTCTCCACTTGCGGCGCGTGGTCATCTCGATACAGCATCTTTCTATAACGCATATCGCAGGACTAAGCTCGGAGCTCTAGACACGTATCCAAGCAAAACATACCCACCATCGGAGCCACTACGCTAAAGCCGAAGGGGCAGCCCTATGGACCATATCGTCGTACCCCCAGCTAGCTCGGCCCTTTTTCGAGCGAGCACCGGTATGCGAGGATAACACTGATCCACAACCCCGAGCCTAGAGTAATCGCTGTATGCACGTGGGCGACCTGGATTGCAAACATTGAGAGCGCAAGATACTCAGCTCTTCCGGTCCGTCAGCTGTGTCGGATGAACGCTCCTTTCACCCAGCCAGATCCTGGTCAGAAGCTAGAGTAGCCGCGGGCCTCCACACCACCTAGTAAATCGCGGGGAAGGTGCGACAAAATTTGAACTAATGACGTTGGCGTGAGAACTTCGCACGAAGGGGTACTGCGGCGCGAATAGGAGCATGCAAGGACCGAATAGCTGTCAACCGGAGAGCACTACACATGAGCAGATGGTGGTGTGATCCGGGCTGCTGGGAAGCGCCAACCCGGTCAGCACGAGTAAAGTTCACATTTTGTTGTTGCGGAGTCCTCCGGGGAGAAAAGCACGGAGCGATTCCGCTGTACCGAGTCGTACTGTCTAGCAAGCTTTCTAAGCCTCGCTGATCTTCTATATGATCGTCTCTCTGCAGCATGTCATTGCCGTCTTGGGTTCGTGGAAGCCTCAGTATTGCCATGTTGCCACGCTCTAGAGATGTGGCAGCTCTCCATCTCGGTGTGTTTCAGCCAGCACGCTGGCCGGGTTCCGTCCACAACATCAAGAGAGCCGGGAGGTCGGTGTATGTGAACATTCGAATAAGGGTACTTCACGATGGATGAGTCGACGAGATAAGTTTTCAGGATCATGTTTCCGAATCATAGCCATTCTGATTGAAGCTACCAAATACCCGGC